TCCATAGACCTCCATAGACCTCCATTATTTGAATGTCAGCAGACAGCAAGAAGCCTCCCAGATCTCCAGATGCATTTGAGATATCAAAAAAGTACTCCAGAGTGTTGTTCAGCATGGGGGTGAGTAGAAAATGAAGGCTAATCATGTTTTGGGTGTACTATTCCTTTAAAGACGCTGCATGTTTCTAATCATATCTCCAACGATCCATTCAGAAGCAACAACAAAGAGAATGGCAGATGAGCCCAGTTTAGAAGAGTCTCTAACGGCTGTAAACAAAATGACATCAGTTAATCCTGTGGAGCCAAGCGAGAGCAGAGGTGAAGCTGAGCGAGTAGAGAATAAGTCGAGAGCTCGTTGTTAGAGTTGAGCGCGCGGCAGACCGGTTTTGAGTGAGGTTGTGCAAGTTTAAAAAGTGAACATCGTTCTCGCTGCACGCTCAGTTCGGTGGCACCAAAATAACAGCATAGATATTGAGCAAAAGAACACGATATTTAAAGTTTGCCTGAAAACTGTCTGGACTACCCAAAGTAACACATCCAACCTCCACCACCTACACCACAACCACACTGTTAAGTTCATAGATGTGCAAAAGGCTCCATTATCTTTGCGCAAAAATCGTTTGCAAGAGAGCTAACATTTTTCCCTGTTCAATGACACATTGTTGAGTGTTTAAACCTGAAAGGGTACAAGACTTTACTATTTGCTTAACAATTAATATTACTTAATTATTTAATATTACTTTAACCAATTAAATACCATTTAAGGAATTCAATTAAGTAAAATGTAATGTGATTTATTCAATGAATTATCTATAAATAGATCAGTTGCATTTCCTGCACGTGCCTTTATTTCTGAAATGAGGAGCTGGAGCATTTATTTTTATGCCGAGTTTATCGTGATATTGAATTGAGGTCATATCACCCAGCCCTAGTACAGTAACGTAGGAGCATGCAGTGTGGATCAGTGGATGGACTGGCGACTTTAGCCTGAAACCTGATCCAACAATGACTAAAATATATTTAAGATGGGATCAGATCAGTTCTCCTTAGTCGCACAGAGCAGGAAGGGAGTCGTCATTATTTCACAACCAAACCAGTTATTGTAAATTAGGCTGTATTTACAAAGAGACTCGCTACTAAATGGTGTTAAAGCTCCAAGTTCCACATTCTTCCTCTTTTTATTATTATATTTTTTATTGAATTTTCTTAATATTTTTTTATTTTGACAGGTTTTGATCTATTTTTTTCCTTTTTTTTTTTCTTTTTTTGTTTTGCACCCCTGGGTCCCCCCTGCAGGAATGACCTCAGCCTGTCCAACGTTCCTTATTCTGCACAAAGTCAGCCTTAAAATGTCAGTCGTCAGGCTGTTTGATTCCCTTCCATTATTTATTTTTTTCCAGTCATATTTTCATGGCGGCACGCATCAGCATGACGTCACAGAAGCCTTTTTTGACAGCGGCGATGAATCTCTTCGTGTGTTCACTCCAGTCATTATTGGCTTCACAGAAACTGATTTCATGCTGCACTAATAGGAGGTTACGCAACAGGAACGACTCTTTTTCAGAGCGGAAAATGAATTTACTATCCCAGCAGCTGCTGCAGATGTCATCACGGTGAAACAAGAGGTCCAGAGAAAACAAGAAGGCCCAGTTCACAGTGCAGAAAATCCAACTGACTGTAAGGTTGTTCATCAGCACGAACGTTCTTCACGCCGATGAAGTTTCTGGCAGTGGGAGCCACTTCTGCAGCTGCTTTCTGAGGAGGGAATAAAACAGTAACTCAAAGCCCTGAGGTCTTTCCATGTCACACTCGGCTCAGATGACATTTCTCTCCCTCCTCTTTGGATCAAATTTAAGCATATTCCTGGAATTTAAATCAAATTTGCCACTTTTTTTATTCTAAAGAATGTTCATAAACCTATGAACTGATATTCCCCTTCCACACCTTTCTGCACTGACAGACAGGAAATGAGGGTCTTACTTCCTGCTGCTTTGGAATGAAATATGCCGAGGTCGAACCACATCAATTAATAGTGTTTATGTCTCTTCATTACTTCAGTTCGTCCTCGTTTCACCGAGCCGGCAAAGATGAGGAGACGAGTCATCGAGCGTCCGGTGGGCAGCTCTGTGCGCCTGAAGTGCACAGCGAGTGGAAACCCCAACCCAGATATCGTCTGGCTGAAAGACAGCAAGCCTCTGGTGGATGAGGAAGGGGGCGAGAGGAAGAAGAAGAGGTGGACCCTGAGTCTGAAGAACCTCACGCCCGAGCACAGTGGAAAGTACACCTGCCATGTCTCCAACAAAGCTGGGGAGATCAACGCCACCTACAAAGTGGAAGTCATACGTAAGTGTGAGTGGGTGGGAGTGGTGACCTAGTGTTTAGATTAGTGCGTTGTGCTCTGAGAAGGTTGCAAGTACCCGGTTCGATCCCTGGAGAGTGACACTCTGGGGCCCAGAGCCTACACTGCTTAAACCAACACTGCTCCCCGAGCACCGCACGATGGCAGCCCACTGCTGCCAAAGTGGATGGGTTAAGATACAGAAGTGAATTTCTCCATTGTAAGATTAATGAAGTTCAATTATTATTATACTGTAAGTCCTCAACTGTGTTTGACAGAAGAAAGAGAGAAGGTTGAGTTTAAAGGGATAGTTCAGTGAAATCAGGGTTTACACAAAGACTGCATGATGAAACTGTCTTCGTGTCTAAATTGGTTATTTGCAGAGAATAAAGAATAAAAAATAAAAAGAAAGTTAGAGGAGGTGCGCCATGTGAAACATCTACCCGACACTTGCTATACTCCATGCTTAATCAGGCATAACAGAAGCTTTTCTTCTAATTTTGAATGAAAAATAAATTATGCAAGAAAAAAGGAAAATATTCAGGTGTGAACAACAGCTTTTATGTAGTAGACCAACACGAAGCTGGCCAGGTCTGCTGAGTGGAATAAAACGGAAGCCCGTTTCCACCACTCTCATAAAAATTTGATCTCATAATTATGACTTACCTCTCTGAGAAATCTAAGTCATAATTATGAGATATAACCTTGTTTTTTATGACAATGGAAGAAACAGACTTCCTAAGAAGTAAAAAGATAAGCCTGCACTTGTTTTTTTTTGTTTTGTTTTTTTTAATAAATATAACACAAGAACAAATTGATTAATCAGCAGTTTAGGTTCGAGAATATGTTCAGAGGCCCCCCATACAGAGGAAGAAGGAACCCTGCTACGATGAAACCCAAAACTCTATTGGTTTCATCAATTCTTTTCACAATAAACCATCAGCGATGATTCAGGTTATAATGGAACAGAATGGGAAAAATTTCAAACAGTAGGAAAGCTTCTGCAAATCAGTAAATGTTTCTTTGAGTCCATGTTAATTGCAAAGCAGACACAAAAACAGCAAATAGAGGTTTAATTCAGCTTTGAAATCCTTTTTTTTTTTTTTTTCAGTGTTAGTTATTGATGACCTCCAGTGATGTCAGTAGACATCCTTTCAAGCCAGAGAGGAATGTTCAGCATGCTTTCTAAAATCCAGCTGCAGCTTTTATCCAAAAAAGGTTCTGTTGTTATATTCACAGCCCATGTGATGAGTTGTGGTTGAGATGCGTTGGTTTTTTGTTGGACGTCTGCAGGAGCTGTTGTCAAGCTGGATGATTTAACATCTCACGGCTTGGTGCAGTTGGAGCTCAATGTGTGTCTGTGTAAGACTGAAGGTTACAGCTCTGTTGAGAGGCTCAAACCAGCTCTCCTGACACTTACATCTGCTCTACATTAGACTACAGCTGTAGGCTTTCCTGAAAGCACCCCCCCCCACACACACACACACACACACACACACACACACACAAACACACAGTCATGCATAAAATAGAAAGAGCATAAATCAAACTGCTGCTTGCTGATGTCAAATGTGACATTCAGTCGTTCGGTCAGGAAGCAGTCAGCTGTCAATCATGTGAAGGACAGCTTCTAAGAACCCTACATGAGGAAGCGCAGGTCAGATGAACAAAGATGCTCTAAGGAAAAATTTACCTTCTGCAAGTTGGGAAGCTCTATTACGGTGTTGCAAGATTTGCCTGGAAGCTCGGAATAAAAAAATGTAGACATTTTGCACCCTAAATATAAATTTTATTTTATTTCATTATTCATCTTCTGTCTGTTGCTTTGGTTCATATTATCAATAATATAATTTTTAATGAGCTGAGATCAGCATGAAGCCAATTGGAAATTATCTTAAATTATATAAAACATACAGTTATGCATTCATTCTTCCCCTTAGTACAACAAACAAAAGAGGTAACAGATTTTCTTGGAAATGAAGTATTCTGGTGGGCCCACAACAACACATTTAAGCAATAAAGGAATTAAAAAGAAAACAGCACATCACGTCTCTCCCAACATAGTGGTGGCAGCGTAGTGCTGTGGGGAGATGTATGAATCTAAATCAAGGATCAAACTGAATGAAAAACTGATAGAGATTGAAGAAGACCTGAGACCTTCCAGCAGGAGAACCACCCAGAACATTCAGCCAGAGATACAATGAAAGGCAAAGATTAAAGCAGATGCATGGGTTTTAGAATGGCCTAGTCAAAGTCCAGACCTGACTCTGTCTGAGAATGTTGAAAACTGATGTTCACAGATGATCTCCATGCAGTCAAACATAGCCTGACAGAGACATTTTTTTTAGAAAAATGATGGTATGAATGAGAATAAATGGAAAAGGTAAAATATTTGTTAATTAAACTGTGAAGCTAAGTGTGCTGGATTCAGTCGACCTGTGTAGGAACACTCAGAATCAAAACATGCTGACATGGTTTTATCTCTCCCCTTCAGAGCGAACCATCTCCAAACCGATCCTAACCGGCACCCACCCTGTCAACACCACCGTGGACTACGGTGGAACCACGTCTTTCCAGTGTAAAGTCCGCAGCGATGTCAAGCCTGTCATCCAGTGGCTAAAAAGAGTCGAACCCGGCGATGAGAACAAATTCAACTCCACCATCGAGGTAGGAAACACACAGCTGGAGAAAAGGAAGCTTTGCAACCAACAGAGAGCATGATTCTGAGCCTTTCATGGTTCTTCTGAAGGTCGGAGAGTACCGCTTCGTGGTGCTGCCCACAGGAGAGGTTTGGTCCAGACCAGATGGTTCATATCTCAACAAGCTGCTAATCAGCAGAGCCAAGGAGGAGGATGCTGGGATGTACATCTGCCTAGGAGCAAACACCAAGGGCTACAGCTTCAGGAGTGCCTACCTCACTGTGCTGCCAGGTTGGCACTCCATCCATTTAACCAATCAATATTACTTCTTTGCAAATGCTAACTTTTTATTACCCTTTGATTGGCATCAGCACACTATTAACTTGCCTGTCCAGAAGGAAAGCAGAAACCTCTGCATGGCTGAGCTTAAACAGAGCTGGACTGATGTTTACCTTTGTTTTGCTTCTTTTTTTCTGCTTGAATCTGAGAAATGTGGCGCCTAGAAGAAGCCATTTCTCAGCTCTATCATGAAGCTACAGCCTAGGAAAGCCTGAGCTCCATCCCACCTGACCTCAACCTACTATTGATGCAGAACTCTTGCTGCACTACAAGTGCAGTACTTCTTAACTAGAAGTACATTTTTATGATTTGCACCCATTAAAATGTATAAAACAGTTATTTATATGCTATATGTTTTTCAGTAAAATGCATACTTTTATTCTGCACCAGTCTAGAATTTAAGTGGGTGTATTATTTTTAGAAAATGAGATGTTTTGATGACTGTTTCAGGTTAGCGTTGCATATCAGTGTGGCGTATTTTTCCCGTAGGTATTGATATGGATTCATGTTGGTCCCATGTGGCTCAGTGTTGTCTTGTCATGGACTGGCTTCCTCTCCAGGGTTATCCTTCGCTTTTCAGACAGGTGCACAGATGAGCAGTTATAAATGATTGGTGGATGAATTGAAATTCTTCTGTTTTCCTTTTCTGCAGATCGGAAATCTCAGCCCAGCTCCATCCCGCCTGTTCCATACCAAAGCCTTCCATGGCCCGTCATTATCGGCATCCCGGCAGGCGTGGCCTTCATCCTAGGCACCGCTCTCCTCTGGTTCTACCAATCAAAACGTACATGCACCTCTTCCTCCTCTGCTCTCCCCGCCGCTCAGCGTTTACCTGCAGCCAGCCGCGATCGCGCCTGCCCAGCGCTGCCCGCACAGTCCACCACTGCAGACAAAGACTCCCTCTCGTATGAGGAATACCTCGCCCATCAACAGCTGCTCCTGGCTCAGGGAGGGGCTGGTCTGGCTCCCAAGGTCTACCCAAAGATCTACACGGACATCCACACGCACACCCACTCGCATGTTAACGGGAAAGTTCACCAGCATCAGCACATTCACTACCAATGTTAGCAGTGAGCGCAGAGGCTTCGGTGTCACATTTCAACCTCTTTGGTGGACATGTCGGTGTGCATGCAGATGCAGTCATAACATGAAAATCAGAGCAAAGAACATGGAAGAGACCCTGCAACTCCGCTCCAGACGTGTGACTGTTAATGGACCTAAGGCTGATGTACTGGAGGACATAAGGAAATCCTACCAAAGCAATAGCAGATGGTTCTGTGCTGTCTTTACACAAGCACAGCTTCCTCTGAGAACTTGGGGCAGACAGCATGCTAACACCACCAACGGCTCCTGGCACCATCTGGCTACGCAGCATCCTTCTTTAACATCAACCCAACTGTGATGGAACAGCAGCAACAAGCTGCTCCAGTTTAACTTTGGAGCCTAAAGCGCTTCACCTCATTTGAACACGCTTAACTCCTACAGAGTTTTATACCTTTGAACACTCTAAGGAGAAGTCTCATGAAAGTATTCACACCTTTTGACCTTTTTATACATTTTATCAGGATACAAACTTCTTACATGCTATTATAACTGTGAAGTGGAAGAAAAATGGAGTAGAATACAATCATACTCATTATTGTTAGCTGATAACATCTGGAAGTGTGACGTGCATTTGGTCTCATTCCTCTCCACTCCAAACCCTATAACGCTTTAACATATTCCCCTATTGAAACATGGTGGTGGCAGCATCATGATGTGGGAATGCTTTCCCTCAACAGGGACAGGGAAGCTGATCAGTTTTTATGAGGAAATGGATGGAGCTAAAATCCAGGACCTTCCTGGAGGAAAAGCTGTTAAAGGCTGCAGAAGAGGGAGGGAGGTTCACCTTCCAACAGGAGAACCACCCTGAACATTCAGCCAGAGATATGATGGGTAGATTCACCTAGTAAAGAAGCCCTGCTGCATTTACTGAGGAGAAGGGAAAATTATGCAAAAACAAGCTGTAGTTTAAAGGTCTTGATTGTAAGGTATGATTAAAACATTCGTTTTTGACTCATGCCACACACAAGAAAAAGTTTAAGGGGAGTGAATACTTTTGTGAGGCTCCTGATATATGAGGTTATGGTTCATCTTTTATCCAAAAAGCTGTTTTCCACAAGCCTGTTTGAAGTAAGTTTTATGATCATATTGGATTCATTTTGGCCTGAATCTCAGACTAAACCCATCTGAGCCAAAACAAACTGCTGTATCTCCAGTGAAGACAGAACCAGGCTCAGCTTTTCAGTCTGAAAAGATCCAAAGCTGCAGGGTGATTCCTCATTAGGTCCATCTTCATCCAAACAGCTGGTGGACTGATCTAAAATACCTTTGCAGTAGTAAGCTTCAGATTTGTTGCAAAGAAGCTGACAGAACCTGTCAGCAATCGGAGTGATTTCCTCCTTTCTGCTGCAACATCTCCTGTTCTGCTCAGTCTGATCCTCAAACATCACAGTGATGAATGTCAAAGTCTTTTTCAACATTTCATTGATCCTTGGAGAATTTAAACAGCTTCAAACTGATGGACTTAAAAGGTTTTTTATTGTTTTTTTTTTATTCTTTACCTTCCTAATGGGGTCTATTGTATGATGAATAATTTAAAGTCCAAGAGACTTAGTTTTTTGTTTTGTGAAAATTAAATTAACTTGTTAAATTGCAGACCCACTAATAACAAACCCAAGAAATGAATCAGTAAGTTCTGCTTAATTTAAGTGCTATGCATTATTTTCCCTTTTTTTTTCTTTTTTTAACATACTTTGTCCATGGCACATTTTTGAGCTGTTTTTGACCTAGTGGATAGAAATTTGGAAATTTTGCTTTCAGATTTATTTTCATTTTCTTTCATTTAATTTCTGTTTTCTTAGTTAAGTCATTCTCTAGGGCCAAAAGAAACACAATACAACAAATAATCACATCCAGAACATAATAAATACATATTTGCCTTCAAATTTATATATTTCATGGTTTACATTTTAATATAAATAATTAATTATTGCATTCCGACCATTAATCCAATCATTAATCGAATATTTTTTTCCCTAGAAGATCTAAATAAATAAATATTTAATTATTAATTTAAACCCAGATGTATTCTTTTAAAATTATTTGAGGTGATTTTCTGTATTTGGATTTTCAAATCAAACATTTATTATATTAAAGGTACAAATATCCCCAAAAATTTAAATTTTAAGCAAATATTTTTCAATGATTTAAGTTCCATATTAATGCTAATGATTTAGATAAAATTCTAGTTAATACAAAAAAAAACAATCTTAAGTCAACTTTCTAAAGCTGGAAATTTTTTTTGAATTGTTATTAATTAAATTCCTCCATCATAAATGTATTTTATCACTCCTTATTGAGCCTCATGTCGACTCTAACATATGATTGCATACTGGATGAATTGTAGAGCAATTAGCTTCTCTACAGCAGCGTTGGCTCAACCCACATGTTTCCGTTTTGTATTCCATCTGATATACATGAATATTTCTTTATGCATTAAACTTTAGTGCTTTTGGCCCTTGATAATCCAACAACTCTTCAATTTGTAGCAGATTTTAGATAAAACTTGAACCATTTTTATTCTCACTAAGTGACTTAATTTCAGACGCATCTGTGGTCCTTTTAGAACAAGACAAGCCAGTTTAATGAAGCATGATCACCTGTGAGAGGGAAGCTGCTCTAAGTAAAATCAGAACAAAACATGTCAAACTTTCAAAGGAACTTTTGTACTTTTTCAACTCTAATGCTCCATTCAGCTGCGTTTCTCTGTAGTTTCTGCGTGCGCTCATCATGAGACAGAGATGATCGCATGAATTTCTCACATTTGAAAGAGAAAAACTAAAGCTAACAAAAATATTAAAATGTGCTCAAGGGTAATGTGAAAAGCCAATATTTTTCAGTGCAAATCTTCCTGAGGGTAAAAACCACATCGGCGAGAACCTTAGAGGGGCGTTCCTGTCATCACTCTGCAGGAAATGATGGACTGGAATCATCTGGTACCTCCAAGTTTTAAGGATTTTTTTTAACTTTTCTTCTTTTTTTTTGCACAGCTCTTCAAACTAAAGAAGGATATTTTAGAAATATATTTTTTATAAATAATGCTTATAATACTGTTTATTTTTACCTTATGTTATCTGTTTGTCAGGTCTTTAGACACATCATCCAACCAATACTCTCTACCATTAAGCTCTGCACTGACTGCTGCCTTAGCAAGCCGAAAATTGCAGGCCGACTCTTTTTACAACCCACCAATTAACGATATGCTCGACTGCAAGCAGCTTCTAAAATGTTAGATTTCTTCTTCCTGTTGGATGTTTTTTGTGCCCTAATTTTTTATTTAAAAGAAATTCTTCAACCAGGAACATTTTCATGGAAAATGTTTGTACTTCCAAAAATATATAGATATATATATAGATATATATTGACTATAGATATATATTGACCACTTGTAGTTAGTTTTCTCATCAGATTACAGTCTGTTACAGGTTAGAGCTCATGGCAAATTGTGTCTAAGTGAACTCACCACTAATACCCACATGGAATAAGATGAGAGTTATAGATTTCTTGAAAAAGAAGTTTAAGCTTCACCTACAAACCAGGACAAAATGTATGATCAAGATTTTTTAAAAAGGAAGGTGTGTTTTTAATTTATTTTTTGGTTTATTTTTTCCATATAACGGGGCATTATACTGCATGAATGGATATTGTGTTATAGTCATAATGGGAGCTTTTTAGCCTATATTATGTTAATGTTACTGTAAGATAATGTACATGTTCTGACAAATTATACAAGTTTTATTGATTATCTTCATAATGACAATCCTGTACAGATCTGGCATAGTTTATAGATTAAAAACGGTTTCCTGTTGCATTATAATTATGTTTTTGGTGCCATTAAAACATGAAAAGCTGTTGGTGGTTATTCCCTTTTTTTTTTCTTGTTCAACTCAACATATTAGAATATAACGAAAAGGTTAAACATGTTTTGTCCCTCACTTCAGGATATCAAACCCATTTATCACATAGAATCATTTTACACAGAATAAAATACCAGGCCTTTATAATTTCACTAAGCACCTCCATAAAAGATTAACAAAACCCTGGATTTGGTATCATATTCCTCAAAAGGCTGTGATTTTCCTGCTGGTGCATGTTTCCTTCCACCTAACTTTCTATCATACAGCGGGAGGTTTATGTGTAAATTATTACATTTTAAATCCATTTAAAAATAATTAAGGCCAAAAACAACAGCCAAAACAAACCCTTGCAGGGATTTGAACCCAGGACCTCCTTGCTGCAGGATAACCACTGTTCTGTCCTGCAGCACCCAGATTACAAAGGGAGATTTAGTCTGAAAAGTTTCCCTGAAGCACAGAGGATGATCTGCCATGCCATACCAAGGCAAAACAATAGGATGTGGAGTTTAAGACAAACTAATCCTGGAGATTGAGCCTCATTTTTTATTTTTTTTCAGCACCCTAATTGGTCTTTCTCACTTTCTATTCTCCCACTATCTGTGAAGATTCAGTTTTATCTGTTATGTTAAACACTCAAAGATTGAGGAGCATCCAATGACTTATAGATGGAGCACAGGAGCTGCAGCTGGTGCATGCAGGGGGGATGGATCAGACATAATCATGAGTCAGTAAAAGCTCCTACAGGTCTGATCCTAGACCAGCACTGATGCAGCCACTCCTGCCACCATGGGGCTGTCTCTGACGATGGTTGATCTCTAAATAGTTCAAGCCCTCAGTTGTGGGTTCTGCAGCCAACATTTTATCTTTCAACGTGGCTGTCTGCAGAGATGACAGATGGACAAGTGTTGCGTGCAAATGGAGGGTGTGAAGGCGCAGTGCCTCTCTGCCTCTGACTCATTTAGGAAAGGAAGATGATGAAAGAAAACCCAGCTGAGAGGATGAGTGCCGCAGGAGGACAGAGGTGGTAACAGAATAGGGCATGAAAGCTAAAGCTCAGACCGTGCTCTTCAGGTGTATCGGAAATGTTTGGTTTGAATCTCGTTTACCTATTACATGTTGAAGCATGTTTTTTAGCAGTAAATTATCAAATCTGTGGAGATATATTTTTTAAAATACCTGCTATAAAGTTTTCAGGAGACTTTTCAACATTGTTTGCTGTCAGGTCCTTAAAAATTGTGACATGGACTAGAACTCCATGCTATGTTCTTAAACTGAAGACTTTCATATTTATATTGAGAGCATTTACATCCATATCAGGTGATCAGGTGTATGAATGTGTGACCAACAGTAACTGAATATTTTGCTGCTCAGCTTTCCATGACCATTTGTTAACTCATCACTCATTTTGCTATTTCTAAGGAACAGATAAACATCCAGGGTTCATTTCAAGTGTGACATTTCTGTTCTGTTAAATCTTAATATTGGATCCTAAGAGCTATTGGCATCAGTAAAGCATGCCTTTAGTATGCTAAAATATCAATAGCTTAGGCTCAGCAACAACAAATGCTGGAAAATTACTGGAGACAAATAGGGTGAAGGAAAAGCTGTTCACAACAACTGGCAGGATCAGATCATGGGTCACCATGGGGTAGGTGTATTTGTGGCTTCATCAGAGAGAAAACAGGGAATTCACCACAAGGTGGTAACCATTATTTAGCCTTGAAAAGTTTTTTTTTGTTTGTTTGTTTTAGATTAGAGCTTTAAAATAAATACATCTAAAAGAGCTGTCACAGTTCTGGAACAACATCCTATGGACAGATGAGGCAAAAATCTACCCGTACCAGACTTATGGGAAGAAAAAAGTATGGAGAAAAAGGGAGCTGATGGAGTTCAACATCATTGAATCATTGGGGTATCGTCATGTTCATGAGGCTTCTAAGCCTTTCATTGCAACTATTCTGGGCAATATTAACCACTGAACTCATTGGACTCTGCTTCATAACACTAGAGAAAGCTAAAAAAAACACATATTACCATAAAGCTACAAAACAGCTTTTTAAGACAATGCAGGAGGATGTTTTCAATGGAAAAGTCAATAACCTGACCTGAATACTACTGGGTGGGTATTTCTCTTGCTGAGAACAAAACTGAAGGGAAAGTGTCCCAAAAACAAGCAGAAACTCGTCAAAATGTACTATTTTTCAAGGCTGCACTTTTAAAAAGATGAAATTGTCCAGTGAGTTGTTTCCAAATGAAATTTGCTTTTGTTTTACACTTGTGTAAACAAAATGACAAATAAAATCTGTCTAAAGTCTAAACTGAGGACATTTGCCGTAGAGATGAAAACGTGGGTTTAGTGACATCTATGCCTTCAAGTCTTCACACTGGGATTCACTGCAAATGATTTGTAACCAAGTATTTAAAACTAATAGGTGAGATCCCTTCAAAAGTGGGAGGCACACATTTGAAGGATTGTTATTTCGCACTTTTCACCTGTTTGGTTGTAAATATCCTTAAATTGAAGCCCAAAGCCTTCAGTTTAATTACACATTGTTTCATTTCTAATGTATTTTTTATAAGAAGATAAGAATTCTGTTATTTTTCCAATATTTGTGGACCTGAATGTAAGCATGATCATCTCAAATATTCTCCTGCAGTCTTTGGTCAGTTCCTCATCAGAGAACATCTCAGGGTCCAAAAACTGTCAAACAACATTCCAGCTTTTCTGACACCTTTTTCTTGGCAAGGAGATCAGGGCTTCATGCTGCTAGTTTGATGGTATGCTGAGGGTTATTTTATTATCCGTTTCCTGTCTGATTTCTTATGTTATAATTTCCACATGATGTTCCATTCTGGGAAGAGTGTCAAAGGGCACCAATCCTGCAGAAAAAGTAGAGATACTTACTACTTTTCTCCGATTGGAATGAGAGTCATCATGTCCAAAAACTTTTAGTTTAAGTTTGCTCAGACTAGAGGAAACTCCTCTAAAATAGTCTATTTTTATCTTAGAGCAGTTTCAAACTGTAATCATGTGTTTTATCTTGTTGTTGGAGGGATGGCTTCTTCCTCTCTGACTGGCCATGTTGGTACAGAACTTGTTTGACCTCTTCTAGCTTCCACAGCTTCTCCACCAGGTTTTTAAAGCTTGTCTGTAGCACACAGAGCTCCAACAGAATCATTGTCATGATGCCATTAAAGGAAGCAGCTTTTTTTTGGGGTGACCTCCTTAAACTTTGTTTACAGTTTCTCACCATCAAGTGTTTTTTTCCCTCTAAACCTCTGCAGTCGTGCCTTCTCTGGCCATTACAATGGCATACGACATGTCTACTGGCATGGCACATGATTTGACCTTTAACCTTTGCTTTCTGGGTGGAGGGCTCTGCAGTTGGTTAGTTAAAAGGGCTGGGAACTCATACAGGAGATTCTTGGGCCCTTAAGTCAACAGCAGCTGCGGTTGGTGATGAAGAGAAGCTACCCAAAGAGAGCTCTTTACCATCAACCTTCTTTTCACTTTGAAAGGAGCACTCAGGTGAAAGGAGTCAATGACCATGAAAAGTTCACACACACACACACACACACACACACCTGGGAGAGGCAGATCACTGAAACCCGAGAGATGCCGATGCACATGCGCCCTCACCTGCACAAAGTTCGATGACGTCCATGTGCAGCGTGCACACTCAGATACTCGCAAAAACACAAAAGCATGCATGCATCACACACACTTCCAGATGAGAACAACACAGAGACACCTGGC